GATATCTCTATGCTAAATGCTTATAACATATACAAGTTGAAGACCAACAAAACACCAAAATATGGTGAATTTTGCCTGTCAGTAATTAGACAAATAATTGCAAAGTACAAAGGATCAACTCCTGCAATAGACCAGCGCCCACAGACGTCATCTCGTTTGAGGCCTGGTGATCACTACCCCATACAACTGCCTCCTACTACTGCCAAGAAAAATGCTCAGAAGAGGTGTTATGTATGTATGCATACCACAAAACGCCCACAAACACGCAGAGACACTCGTTTTATGTGTGAGGAGTGTGAAGTGCCCCTCTGCATATACCCATGTTTCAAAGAGTTCCACAAGCTGCAGCAGTTCTAGGAACGTGCTTAGTGACTGTACATATGTATATATATTATGGAACAATAGTAATAAACATTGTTTTGTATTGTTTGTTTGTGTAAACAAAGTGTATACACAAACTAATAGTGATAAAGTTTGTTCTGTTATTGTGTTGTAAATAATGAGTGTATATTTGAACAATGCACCTTACATTGGTCTCACAGGCCACATAAGTTACCTGGAAAAGAAAAATATTGAAAAATGCAAGAAACCTTGAATTAGAGTAAATAAAAGAATAACCGGGTGGGCGGCAGTCGCCGCTGTTGCCATACGCACGTCGATTTCTGCAAACTTTGCGGCTCTATATCTCGGTAAGTACTGATGGCAAAAAATTTTTTTTTAGGCTTAAAACACTAGTAAAAATATTCCTAACATTTTCATAAGAAAAAATAATTTTTTTTTTTTCGAATATTTGGCGACATAGAATGACAGTTTCAGAGAGGGCCCTGAAACAGTCAAAGGGTTAATGTCACCTTTCCACCATTTATAATATTTTTAGTATATTTTTTTTTTAAATGTTTATGCACTAGTGCACTGTATATTATAATAAACAGAATAGAGGAAATCAGCTCTAATATATATTATTTAGGTATGCATACTGGTCATAAGTCCAAGTCGTCGGTAAATGAGTATGTCGCTAAGTGAGGAGAGACTGTATTAGCTTCCTCCATCAGCAATTACCTGGAAATTAAAGTCTCGTATGTTGCTAAAATTATCTCATTTTACATTTTTCAGTGTATATTCTGAATCAGCATAGAAAATAGTATGCCTGGTGTGATTTTAAATGAATTTTGAAAATCCAGCCAAAAATAGTGAGAAATGCTAAACTAGTTCAGTGATTTTTTGGGGCCAAAAAACTTTTTCTCTCAGAATGGAAAATTGGATCAATTTATCCTCACAAACATGAAAAAATCCTGTATATACAGCTTTCATAGATTGTTATGAGAGTTGTATAAGTTAACACATTGAATTTACTAAATTATGGCAACCAGGTACCTGTATGTGCTCCTGGAGTTTTACCTGGAGAGAGTTCGGGGGGTCAACGCCCCCGCGGCCCGGTCTGTGACCAGGCCTGGTGGATCAGAGCCTGATCAACCAGGCTGTTACTGCTGTCTGCACGCAAACCAACGTACGCGCCACAGCCCGGCTGGTCAGGAACCGACTTTAGGTGCTTGTCCAGTGCCAGCTTGAAGACTGCCAGGGGTCTGTTGGTAATCCCCCTTATGTATGCTGGGAGACAGTTGAATAGTCTCGGGCCCCTGACACTATTGTATTGGTCTCTTAACGTGCTAGTGACACCCCTGCTTTTCATTGGGGGGATGTTGCATCATCTGCCAAGTCTTTTGCTTTCGTAGTGAGTGATTTTCGTGTGCAAGTTCGGTACTAGTCCCTCTAGGATTTTCCAGGTGTATATAATCATGTATCTCTCCCGCCTGCGTTCCAGGGAATATAGGTTTAGGAACCTCAAGCGCTCCCAGTAATTGAGGTGTTTTATCTCCGTTATGCGCGCCGTGAAGGTTCTCTACATTTTCTAGGTCAGCAATTTCACCTGCCTTGAAAGGTGCTGTTAGTGTGCAGCAATATTCCAGCCTAGATAGAACAAGTGACCTGAAGAGTGTCATCATGGGCTTGGCCTCCCTAGTTTTGAAGGTTCTCATTATCCATCCTGTCATTTTTCTGGCAGATGCTATTGATACAATGTTATGGTCCTTGAAGGCGAGATCCTCCGACATGATCACTCCCAGGTCTTTGACGGTGTTTCGCTCTATTTTGTGGCCAGAGTTTGTTTTGTACTCTGATGAAGATTTAATTCCTTGTGTTTACCATATCTGAGTAATTGCTTTGGCATCTACATACTTTTTCTTAAATTTATATTGCCCATCATCAAAGGTTGTTTGTCTCACGAAATCGTAATGACATGATTGCAAACAAAGCTAGAGTTCGTCACGGCCATGCTAGCGGGAGATTCGTCTGTAAAAACTTGCATTTGTGGACACAGTGGGCCCTATGCTAACCTTCCTGTGGTGTAGAAATATACCTAGTTTGGATGAATCTTATTGAAGCTAGCTGGCCAAGTGGCTAACCCCAACGGTCGGGGGTTTTTTGAGACTGACTGCAGGTTTCAAACCCACCCCCGTGGTATGGTAAGGTGTGTTTGGTAACCCTTTGCTTCAGTAAGAACCTACATACAATCTAATATTCCTTCATTGCAAGATTGCCAAGATACTCAGTCTCAGTAATCTTGTTCACTTTTGTGATCTTTAAACCGGCTGAACCTTCTTAAAACCCTTGCTCATCTTTCATGGGGAGCTGATCGTCGAACTCTCTTCACCTACATTCCCGCCCTCATTTTAAAACAACTCGATTATGGTGACCAGATCTATTTGGCGGCCTCTCCTGCTACTCTTTCTAGCCTTAATCCCACCCATCACCAGGATTACGTTTATGCCTTGGTGCTTTTCGCTCTCACATGTTGAGAGTATGCAGAAACGAATATTCCATTCTTGTCCGATCTCCGTGATGCCCATTGCCTTTGCTACTATGTTCACTCTCATGATCTCCGCAATCCTTCCATATATAGAATAGTCACTGATGTTAGTAGACATTCTTTATTTGTTCGTCGCTCCTGTTTGCTCAGTCCCTTTTCTCTTCACCTACATTCGCTCATCTTCCCTTCAGTTACCACCTTTCTATGTTCATGTAGCAGCTCACTTTTCCCTACCCCCCTCTGGGAAGTTCCAGCTGTTTGAGTCTGTTCTTTCTCACTCCCTTGCACGAAAGCCCAACTGCCTACAGTAGCTTCCCGCTCTTTTTTTTTTTGACCACTTCCGCTCTCTCTCTCTCGTGCCATTGCAGTGTACGCAGATGGCTCTAAGTCTTCTGACAGCGTCGGATTCGCAGCAGTGTTTCTGGACAGTGTCGTGTGTGGGCGTTTACTATCCTCGGCTAGCATTTTTACTGCTGAATTGTATGCCATTCTTGCAGCACTTATCCGTATTGCATCTATGCCTGTGTCACCATTTGTGGTTGTTTCAGACTCCCTTAGTGCTTTACAGGCTATACAAAAATTTGATACACCTCACCCCCTAGTTCTCCGTATCCAACTTTGGTTACACCGTATCTCTACCAAGCATAAAAATATTGTTTTTTTGTTGGGTCCTTGGTCATGTTGACGTACAGGGCGATGAACAGGCAGACACTGCTGCGCAGTCAGCAGTACATGACCTTCCAGTTTCATATGGAGGTGTTCCATTCATGGACTATTTTGCTGTAATAGCTACTCACCTTCACACCTGTTGGCAACAACGTTGGTCTGATCTGCTCAATAACAAACTTCATTCTGTTAAAAACCGAGTATAGGTTACTGGCCATCTTCTTGTCATCAGTGTCGAGGCTGGGAGACTACTCCCTCCCGTCTTCGCATTGGCCACATCGTCTTACTCATGGGTATTTCATGGAGAGGCACCCTGTTCCTCTCTGTGAGACATGTCAGGTTCCAGTATCAGTTAGCCACATTCTGTTAGACTGCCCACTCTATCAATGAGCACGCAGAATTTACCTCAAACTTTGCCTCTGCCTCTGCTGCTCTTTCTTTACCTTCCCTTCTTGCTGATGGACCATCCTTAATCTGGACTTTCTCATTGACTTTTTGACAACGATTTACTCCACAAACTCTGATACCTTTAGCACTCCCCTCAGCCCTTTCTATCTCAATCTCTTGCTACCCTCTCCCCCCTGCACTATCCACTGCCTCGCTGTTCTCCGTAACCTACAAAATCATCCTCTCCCCTTTGCCATCTTATAACCCCTGTTTCCTTCCCTGCCCTGCAGTGCTGTACAGCCCTTTGGGGTTAGCACTTCTTTTTTTATTAAAATTTAATAATAATAATTGTAAATCTTTAGAGTTATCACCACAGTTAGTGATGAAGGCACTTTCAATCATAAACACCCCTTTTTTACATCCGTTTGCTCTCTCCCTTTCTGGCTTGTTGCTTTTTCATCTGCTTTCTCTGTTTTTTGCGGGAAATTCACAGACTGACAAAGAGTAAGTGGGAAAATAAAATGCATGCAAGTTAGGAGGCAAAGAAAGAAAATATTAACTGAAAAAATAGTTCATTAAAATATGTTTTGTCGGAATCCCAAGTGGTGCTGCAGTGAATAAATGAATGTTCAGTTTTTGCAATGTATGGTAGAATTGCAGTATCCGCAGATTCGGTTTCCGTGGTTCCAGTTAGCCATGGTTTAGCATAGCCCGAAAGTAAGCCTTAATTTTGCTTAATCGCCACAGAGCACAAAAGTAGTGATGGTGGTAGTTCTTCAAAGCCTAAGAGAAGCTGTGAAGTACTTCCCATCAGTGAACAAATGATAATTCTTGAATTATTGTGTGTAATTTATCAGTTAAATTTTATCATAGGTTCGTATGTAAATGAAAAACGACATGTGTAGGGTTTGCTAATATCTGCGGTTTTGGGTATCCATGGTAGGTCTTGGAACGCTTCCCCTGTGGATACAGGGGGACTATTGTACTGTAGTTATTTTATAACCAAGAGCAAAATGTGTGTTTAATATTTAAATTACAATAAATTTAAATAACTTATAAGTGCATAATTTTATTTTTATAGCCATGTTTGACACTGACCATAGTGGAACCATCAACATGCAAGAATTTGGACAGTTATTTCTGTTTGTCAACCAGTGGACGGAGGTCTATCGTCGCTATGACAGAGATAACTCTGGACATATTGATGAGAATGAAATGAGTGCAGGTAAGTCTAGCAAGGTTATGTACAACAGAAGGAGTGTTAGAGGGAAGGGAGGTATGCTTGGGGAATGGGAAGAGCAGGGAGGAGAGACATGATAAATGAGGTAGGAAGAGTAGCAATGTACAGGAAATGGTGCACAAATAACTTGCACATAGGAGACTGAAACTCATGACTAGATAATGGTTCAAGTTGGACTGAAACATAATCATAAGTTTGTCTTCTGTGTATGGGGTTATTTGTGTATTGTGGCTTTTTATTTACAGGAAATGGGAGTGTGTGAAATCATACCACATGAAGTATATAGACTAATAAAATATTGAAAGTGTCAAGGACTTATTTTTTAAATCTCACTGGAAGATCATGTAAATGAAATTGTGAGAAATTTGTATACTACTTTGGTGAAATATATGGATGGAGGCATGCTAAAAAAAAAAAAAAAAAAGCTGCTTACAACATAGGCCATTATTGGAATCTGCAGTGATGCCCTCTCCTAAAAATATTGTAGATAAATTATTAACCCTTTGACTGTTGCGGCCGTATGTATACGTCTTACGTCCTGGTGTCGCAAAATTTAAAAAAAAAAAAATATATTTTTTCTTATGAAATGATAGAGAATCTTTTCCCGATTGTAATGACACCAAAAAAAACGAAATTTGATGGAAAACTGACGGAATTATGCTCTCGCGAAGTTAGCGACCTCGGCGCCGTTTACAAATCGGCGATTTCGCCCGCTTTGAGCCCTATTTTTGGCTAATTCCATTGTTCCAGTCGCCCAAACTCATAGCTATTTCTTTAGAACTCCATTTTTTCTATCGATTGAGTACAAGAAACTGCCCATTTACCGATTTCAACTACCTAATAATGTGGTCAGAAATTTGCAATTTGGCCAATTTCACGAAAACTAAAAAATATGACAATTTCAAAATAAGGTCCAGAATGAACAATGCAGACATTCCTGGCTCTAAAATAACATTTTCTTTGCTCATCAGTCGTGTTTCCAGGCCCCTCTGATATTACTCTTGCTTTCTATTTTGAATTTTTATTCAAACAAAAAATTGAAAACTTACTATTATGCAGACTACTGCAATACTGTAATAATTGTATAAATAACATCAACCCATTCATGACTGCATATTAGAATGGCTAGTTGGACATTTACTGGAAAATGGCATCATTTGCTTACTTTTGAACATTGGCAAAAATCAAACATTTCCCTACTTTGAGCTCCATTTCTAGGTTCTTTTTATATAGTAAAATCAATCAAAATCATCTCTATTTCTATAATATGTCTTCCATTCTATCAAATGAGACCAAGAAAACGAGAATACAACCATAAATACTATACGAAAATAGACCACAAAGTCGGCATTTTAATTAAAAAAAAACGGTCGGAGTTTTTTTTTCTCATTATGCACTGCGTGCTCCAGGATTTTTTTTATATGGTGCACACTGACCACACAGACCCATTCTCTCACATGTAGGCCTACCAGCTTTCTCCTGCTTGATTTGAAGCCGCTAGAATTTATGAGTATATATATGTCAAACACGGTACCTCGTAAGACGTATATATATGGCCGCGACAGTCAAAGGGTTAAAGATCTAGAGAATAGTTTACAAAATAGCTATGGGTTTAAAAAAAAAGTTGTGATGAAAGGCTGAAAACACTAAAGATGCCCATGCTGACAAGGTCATAAATGGATATGAAAAATTTGAGAGAGGATTGTAAAGTACCTGCAACAAGGATAACTATAGGCCACAGCTGTAAAGTGTGGAACTGAAGATATGCTAGAAAATTTTTCTTCACAGAGTGGTAGATGAGTGTAATGAAAAAGAATGCAGTAAGATCAACAACTATTGGAAATTTTAATACACTAAATGATGTACAACCATTGGAAATTTTGTAAAATTATATAACAAATTGATACCACCATGAGCATAACTGCTCCTATAGATATAATTTACAGGAAAATCAAGAGAGATGAGATAAACTGAGCAGAATAGAGTAAGAGTAGGAATGAGTAGTGAGAAATGATACTGTGTATAGTATGTAATGATAGGGAGATGGGGGGGGGGGAGGCTAGTGGGACCACGAGGGAAGGATGATCAAAGTTTCGTGGAAAGAGAACTGAAGGAATAGGTAAAAATTATATTCATAAAGAGGGAGGGATGCTACATGGGTGTGCTAAGGAGTTGAACTACTGAAGTTTACCAGTACCAGATTGATTGGGATCTTTGAAAAAAGATCCTAATCAAAAGATGTGACGAATTGCTGTTTTCTCAGCTTCTTTCAACAAACCGGCCGTATCCCACCAATGCAGGGTGGCCCAAAAAGAAAAGCCTATATATATTAAAAACAAGTTTTAGGTAGGACCTCCATGACAATGAAAACCTTAACTAGTAAAACCCATAGCATTGCTGGAACATGTTTTCTACCTTACCATAATATCAAATTACATACTAAATCCATATGGGCCATACAACACCTCACCATAAAAATATGGTTGTCTGTAGGTTGGAGGGTAGTGTAGCCATGTGAGATGAAGGGAGGAATTAGTGCAGTCATGGAGGGAGGGATGGGGAAGGTAAAGGGTAATGTAGTTAAAGCACTTAAATTAATATAAACCCTCTTTCACGATCAGCACTGCAGCAGATGGGGTACCGCCTCTCTCCACAGTTTGTAAGCTTCCTGGTGTCCAAATTTTCACCAAGATCGAGAAAAGTTACACTGGATAATTTTATTGTCAGTAATATTCAACTTCGCAATTTGACTGAAGCTTTCAAGAGCCGTGACCGTGAAATGAAAGGAGTCATTACCATCAGTTATGAAGAATTTATCAGCCTTGCATTTACAAGTCTTATGTAATGTTTGTACTTAGGTGGTTATAGCTGTCTTCTAATAGAAAGGCATTTTTACTAATATAAAAAAATGTTACATAAAGGAACATGTTTTTAATTTTTCAGTATTTTAGACATACAGTATTGGCTTGTGAATGAATTTTATAACATGGCAGCAACAATTTCACGCCTTCAGGGGCTAGTTGGAAGAACATTGTGGCCTTAAGTGTAGATAGTACTGATGTGATTTTTACTGGTTTACTCAGCCTGGCATCAATAAGTCAACTTTACCAATTTTTGATAAACCACCTATAAACTAAATATTGTACAGTTTTAAATATTACAGTGCATGGGTATATTGTGTCCATGAACCAATATTGATTCGAGTATGGCATCATACTAGAAATATACACCAAGATGTTACATCAGACACTAATACAACCACTCAATCCACTTTTAATATGCTGTTAAAGTAGTTAGAAAATGGACTTCTGAGTACACTAGTTTACAGGGTTGTTGACTGTATTTAGACTGTTGGCAACTGTTGACAGTCTTGAATACATGGTGCAAAATAATGGTGTTATATTTTTATGTTGTTACTAATTATCAGCTGCTCTGTGATTCACTAAAAAATGCAGACATTTATAGAGGTTTTTAAGGTATTAATAAATTACTTACTTTGGTTTAGACATTTCATTTTTATATCAGATTCCCACTAAAACCTTAAGATTTTAATCCAGATTTGAATTGAACCTTGCCGACCATACCGGACACTTCTTAATGTCACACCTTATCAGAGGAGCATGCCTTCCCTAGTACCTTTCCTTGGATTACCTCAATATCTAATGTGCTGTATGAACCTTATCATTTCCACATCAAAGGATTATTATTATAATCAAAAAGAAGCACTAAACCTAGAAAGGTCATTTTTTTTTTTCAACAAACTGGCCGTATCCCACCAAGGCAGGGTGGCCCAAAAAGAAAAACGAAAGTTTCTCTTTTTAAATTTAGTAATTTATACAGGAGAAGGGGTTACTAGCCCCTTGCTCCCGGCATTTTAGTCGCCTCTTACAACACGCATGGCTTATGGAGGAAGAATTCTGTTCCACTTCCCCATGGAGATAAGAGGAAATAAGAACAACAACTAGAAAGAGAATAGAAGAAAACCCAGAGGGGTGTGTATATATATGCTTGTACATGTATGTGTAGTGTGACCTAAGTGTAAGTAGAAGTAGCAAGATGTACCTGCAATCTTGCATGTTTATGAGACAGAAAAAAGGACACCAGCAATCCTACCATCATTTAAAACAATTACAGGCTTTCGTTTTACACTCGCTTGGCAGGACGGTAGTACCTCCCTGGGCGGTTGCTGCCTACCAACCTACAACCTAGAAGAAAGGTCATACAGACATCAAAGGATAGATTGACTCGAAGTCATCTTTCATACTGTACGTCTTATACCTTCTTGTTCACATTACATACATACCAATCTCAGTTCAGGTGGTGAAGTCAGTGGAGATAGATGAAAGTCAGGTGATAAAATAGAGAAGACAGGGCCTGGATCTAGGCATTGGGTTGAGTTTTATGTTGAACCTGGACAATGTTGTGGGGGCATTGATCCCTGAAATGCCCTCCAGGTATCCCCATTTTATTCATTGGTGAATCAAGGATTTTCCTGTAAAAGTGCCTTGCAAATTAGTACTGAAATACTTTCGGGTTCAAAAGTTTTCATTATAGGAATATCTGTACTGGTGTTCCAGATAATTTTCAATGAATACTGTAAGTTGATTATACATGTATCTACTTTACCAGACAGCGTGGTATAGCCCTTGTGGTTCAGCGCTTCTTTTTGATAATAATAATTATAATAATAATACTTTATCAGATTAATAAGTAGTCAACAATAAAATAAAAATAATAATCAAATGAAGCACTAAACCAAGTAACAAAAACTATAAAGGTTAATTGTCATTTTCATTGGATAAAGAATTTATTAACAATATTCTACCCTCACAGGTTTATATAATAATATCCAAATTTTTAACATTATAGAATTGCTATCTCACATCCCCTAAGATAATTTTATTAGCTATTCAGTTATAGTTATACTGAGCACAATTCAATGCACAAATATGAATGATATTTCTTAATAAAGTTAGATCATGTAACAGTGAACTGCACAGAACAAATCAGAGCAAAAGCATTGGTGAAAAAGAGCCAGTTTAACTGGTAAGGAACACCAAACTTCTTAAGATCTACTCAACTGAACCTTCTCAGTATTGTACATATTATTATTATAATTAAAAAGAAGCGCTAAGCCACAAGGACTATACAGCGCTGCAGGGCAGGAAGGAAGCGAGGGCATCAGGTGGCAAAAGGGAGATGGATGAGTAATAGGTTACGGATAACAGCGGGGTAGTGGATGGTGAAAGGGTAAAGGGCAGCAAGAGACTGAACTAGAAAGGGCTGAGGGGAGTGCGAAAAGTATCATCAGAGTTTGTGGAGTAAATCAGTCGTTGTCAAGAAGTCAATGAGAGAGTCAGGATTAAAGGAGGGTCCATCAGCAAGAAGGGAAGGTAAAGAGAGAGTAGTAGAACTAAGACGACGTTGGAGGTAAATGCGTGCTCGTTGATAGAGAGGGCAGTCTAACAGAATGTGGCTAATCGATACTGGAACTTGACACTGCTCACAGAGAGGAACAGGGTGCCTCTCCATGAGATACCCATGAGTAAGACGAGTGTGGCCAATGCGAAGGCGGGAGAGAGTGGTCTCCCAACCTCGGCACTGATGACAAGAAGACGGCCAGTAACCTATGCTCAGTTTAATAGAATGAAGTTTGTTACCGAGCAGAGTTGACCAACGTTGTTGCCAACGGGTGCGAAGGTGGGTAGCTATTGCAGCAAAATAGTCCAGAAATGGAACACCTCGATAGGAAATTGGTAGGTCAAGTACTGCTGACCGCGCAGCAGTGTCTGCCTGTTCATTGCCCTGTACGTCAACATGACCAGGGACCCAACAAAAAACAATATCTTTGTTTGGTAGAGATACGGCGTAGCCAAAGTTGGATACGGAGAACGAGGGGATGAGATGTATCAAATTTTCGTATAGCCTGTAGAGCACTAAGGGAGTCTGAGACTACTACAAATGATGACACAGGCATAGATGCGATACGAATAAGTGCTGCAAGAATGGCATACAGTTCAGCAGTAAAAATGCTAGCTGAAGATTGTAATGCCCCGCACGACGCTGTCCGGAAACACTGCTGCGAATCCGACGCCGTCTGAAGACTTAGAGCCATCTGTGTACACAGCTGTGGCATGAGAATGGGAGTGGAAGTGATCAAGAAAAAGAGAGCAGGAAGCCACCGTAGGCAGTTGAGCTTTCGAGCAAGGGAGTGAGAAAGAACAGACCCGAACAGCTGGAACTTCCCAGGGGGGTAGGGAAAAGTGAGATGCTACATGAACATATAAAGGTGGTAACTGAAGGGAAGACAAGAGTGAATGTAGGCGAAGAGAAAAGGGACGGAGCAAACAGGGGCGGCGAACGAATAAAGAATGTCTACTAATATCGGTGACCATTCTATAAATGGAAGGACTGTGTAGATCGTGAGAGCATACATAGTAGCGAAGGCAATGGGCATCACGGCGATCAGATAAGGATGGAACATTCGCTTCTGTATAGAGGCTCTCAACAGGGAAGAGCGAAAAGCACCCAAAGGGACAAAAGAATCCTTGG